GGCTTCAATGCACCTTGACCTTCATAGAGAGCATTGTAGAGAGCATTATAAATGTTCTTTTTGATGATGAATACTTTGTTATTCTTCTTGAACTTATCATTCCTGGCATAGTAAAGCCCATGACTAATTCAAGATGGCCAAAACTGGTCCATTTCAGCTCAATGATGCCTAGGATAGCAATCATTATGTGTTCTATTTCATTTTTGACATTTTCCTGGATTCATACTTCATTTCTCAGTCCAAAGAGCACCCTTTAGCATTTTTGTAAACTTGGTGTGGCCATTACAAGTTCCTTTAATTACTGTTTATCAGGAAATGTACTAATTTCACCATCATATTTGAGGGACAGCTTTACGAGGTATATGATTCTTGGTTGGCAATTTTTTTGTTGTTTCAGAGTTCTGTATGTTATTCTGTTACCTTTTTCCCTGTATGGTTTCTGATGAGAAGCTTAGTTTTATGAATTCTCCTTTGTAGGTAACTTTTTGTTTTTCTTGGCTGTTCTCAGAGTTCTTTCCTTGTCTTTGGTTTTAGAAGGTTTGATTATGGTATGTTTTGGTGATTTTCTTTTGTGATCTATCATATTTGGGGTTGTTCAGCTTCTTGTGTGCTTATCTTTCATTACTTTAGGAAAGTTTTCTTCCAACAACTCTTTGACAGTTTTCTCTGTGCATTTTATTGTCTTTTTCTGTTCTGGAATTCCAATAATCCATAAGTTATTCCTCTTTATGGTATCCCACATAACCCTTAGGCTTTCTTTGGATTTTTTTCTTTTTTTTTCTAATTGTTTGTCTAGCTAGTATTGAGCGATCCACTGCTTCAAATCTGTTTTCAATATATTGTCCATTTCTGTAATCTTAGTATTAATTTCCTGGGTTTCTAATTGTAGGTGTTGTATTGTTTCAAAATTTTCATTTATTTTGTCTGTTTGGTATGAGCGTTTTCCTGAATTCTTTTAAGTGTTTTCTGTGTTCTTGCTTTCCTTGATCTCTCTGTCAATCCTTTGTAAGTACTTAAATATCATACTTTTGAATTCTTTTTCAGTTAGTTCCATTATCTTTTTTCCTCCAAAATGATTTTCTTTGGATCTGTATTTTGGTCATTTGTGCCATTTTCTCGTTTGTGTGAGCTAAAATTGCCTGTTGTCTCTGGGAGATTGTGGTGTTTTCAAGTGATGATTGTTACGTTGATTTGTTCTTTAAGCTCCCACCAACTGTCTCCTGTGGGTGTAGTAAGAGAATGGAAGTGTGTGCACCATTCTCCATTCATCGTTTGCGCACCTCAGAGTAGGGTAGATTTGATTGATGTTGGCCGCTGTCTATCGTTGATCATGTGGCATAAGAGCTAATATTGGCTATTGTCCAGTTAGTGGAGTTGCAGTGGGTTTGGTTGTGGCTGGGATTGACTTATGGACACGGTTGCTATCTCCTGTTGAGAAAAACCCGTCTTCTCCCCCTAACCAAACACACACCAGGAAGCAAAACAGAATAAACAAGCAAGCAACAAAAAATGAAAATAATATAGGAGAAAAAGAATTTAAAATAGATAGGGATCAACCAGAAAAAAGAATAACTAAAAAGAGAAAAGAGGAACAGGAAAATGGGAGCTACAGAAGAGAAAATAAAAGGAAGAAATAAAAATAAAAACAACTCTTAGAAAAACTAGAGAGAGGGAAGATGAAAAGAGGAGGAGTGTACAATGAAAGATCCCAGTGGGGGTGTGTGGAAGGGGAAATTATAGAAGAAAAGGTAAAATGAAAATCAGAGATAGAAAAAATAAAATTCAAGGGCATAAAGAAGAAGGAGGAGAAAGAATGATTAGTTTAAAACAATGAAACAACAAAAGGAAAAACACAAACCAAAAACAATGAAGCTAATGGACCTGGAGAGGAGAAAACTTTGGGGGGCTCCTGCAAACCAGTGATCTTGCGGGTTTAGAAGGGATGTGACAATAGAGGTTCCTGTCTTCCTTGGTATCATCTACGTTCAGGGCACTCAATCTGGAAGTAGTTCATAGAGGCCCTTAATGTAACTAGTTTCAGTGTCTGTTGTGACCACAGGGAAGCTGGGCGCTAAAATTGGTCAAATGCTGGTCTGGTGGCTCTGTGGGTTCTGTAGGTTCTAAACTGAGCCCACCTGAATCCAGGCAACAAAATGGCAGACCAAAGAGGATCAGCTGACCCAACCTCACACTGATGTAGCTCCTAATAACTATGTGGCACTGAAATCCGGGAGATCGGGGGCTGTGCTGGAGGTAAATGAGGGCGGGAGCTGGCCATACACCTCTGGTCACCAGGGGAGCATGAGGCCAAAAAAAGGAATCTCACCTTTCCAGTCACCCGTGTGACTCTAGTCTGCCAGGCCATCTTATTTTACTAAAGCTGCTCACAAAGGTTCAAGATGGTTGCACCACGTCTGGACAGCTATTCACCAGTCTCCCTCACTCATAGTCTCAGCTCAGCATCTGCTCTCAGCAAGCATTCAGGCCACTTCTCTAACCTTTCTTATGAAGTGCAGGGTTCCAGGATTTTCATCTGTATCTGTTTTATTTGGTCTCCTGTATCTTTGTTGTAGTGTGTCTGCCTAGTCAGCCTTCTTACCAGAAACAATCTTGATTTCCTGTAGTAGTATTCTGTAGTTTTCTTTGTATAAGGTCTCTTGATATATTTTGAAATATATTTGATATATTTCTATGCATTTCTTCTTTTGGATGGCTATTGTAAATGTTATTATTTTTCAGATTTCCTTTTCAGAGTTCTCTTTATTAATTTAAAGGAATGACTGATTTTTGTATATTGATCTTGTGGTGTGGTTAGAATTTTGTAACATGTACATGACAAGACACATTTTTTAAAAAAGGTATGGCAGAGTTACTGAAAGGAACAGCATGATAGGCTGGGTTTAGGAAGCTCATTTAGGTAGCTGTTTTAAAGATGATCTAGAGGAAAGCAAGAACAGTTAGCGCTACAGTAACAAAAAGAAGTGATGGGGGTGTGTGAACTACAGTGGTGGTAATTATGGAAAGAAGGAATTAGATTTGAGCTATTAAGAAAAATCTACAGGCTTGATGACCCTATCTATACTGAGAGGTTTGTCAATCATGGTTCAATCATAAAAGCAGGACCATTAAGAGATACACATAAAAAAGGATTTATTATATAGATTCAACCTTTTCAATTGTGGGAACTGTTTAAGCAGTCTATGAAATGCTATTGTGTATCTTGATGCTAGAATGTCAGTCTAGGTAAACGGACATATTACAATGCCACCAAAATGGGTGATTGTAAATTAGGTCAGAAGTAGATGTTCTGACAGGGAATCCTTGAGGAGGTGAAGTGGCTTAGGGAGTAAGGGAATCTGAAGAAAGAAAGCTGACACATATATTTCCAGACTGTCTACATTACAGAAATTCTCAACTGAAGCATTAAAAAATCTAAGTTGAACTACTGTTTACTGAGTAGCTATTCCAACTCACCCACTGCTCCTATGAAAACCTATAGAGGGTTGCTATGCGTTAAAACCAACTTGATGGTACTTAACAACTATGTGTACTTAGGTGTTACTACCACCCTTCAAAGGAGCTCTGGTAGCATACTGATTACAAGTTGGGCTGCTAACCTCAAGGTCAGCAGTTCAAAACTACCAGCCATATTGTGGGAGAAAGATGAGGCTGTCCCGTAAAGATTTACAGCCTCAGAAACCCTATATAGGGTTGCTATGAGTTGGAACCAACTCCACAGCACAAATCACCACCACCACCACCACCACCACCACCACCCTTTTGTCAAGTTTGTCATACTGTGATGGTTTGTGTTGCCGTAATGCTGGATGCTATGACACTGGTAATTCAAGTACAAGTAAGGTCACCCATGGTAGACAGGTTTCAGAGGAATTCCAATCCACTTCCAAAATTTAGCCAATGAAAATCCTATGATATAGTGCTAGAAGATGAGTCACCTGGGTTGGAAAGCATTCAAAATATATAGTGGCCACAAAACAATGACTGTGAAAAAAGTGCATCACCAGACACCATTTTGTTCTTTGTACTCGGGGTTCCCATAAACTGACTTGATGGCAATTAACAATATTATATGTGGGCACTTTATATATATTATGCAAAATTCCTATAAGTTGGCATTAACATCACCATTATATAGAGAAGGAAATAGGTTGAGTTCTTCTTAGAATGACATACAAGGGGGTTTCCAAAAAGTTTGTGGAAAACAGAATTAAAAGATAATGGATTTTTCCCCATGAACTTTTTGAAGTCCCCTCATACAGCTAAAGAGTGACAGATCTAGTGCTTGATCCGATTATTTAGATTACTCCAACGTGGGTACAGTGAGAGAATTAAACTCTTAATTATTGAATGATTACTTCTCAATTCTTCCAACGACAGCACATAGTTAGTACTACTCTGTATGTATTAAATATAAGTTAATTCATTACATTCAATATAGCAGGTAGCATTTCAGTGCTTACTTTTCTGAGAACTGGTAGAAAGGGGCTATACCAGACAAAGCTGCCACAAACTCTCTTAAAGTTTCGGTAAATATCTCTGGGATCATCAAAGAATAAAATATAAGTAGGAAGTGAATGAGGAAGTGTCTAGGAGGGAGAAGTTAAGCTCTCTCCACCTTGATCTCTCAAATTGAATGTTTGGAACACATAACTCCTGAAAATTTCTGTAGAATTGAGTCTCTTCAGACCTCCAAGTTAATAGAAATTCATTATGGTTCTTTTCATATTATAAACATAACAAATTTTTTTTTTTTTTTTACAAATGATATTTAACTTTATCTCTTAAGGAAAGATCCATGATTAACTTAAATGTAAAAGCCACATCTAGTAAACTGTTATTAGTTTCAGGAGCAAGGGCTGTCTTATTTCCAGGATAGACACTTTACAAGGAACTCCTTTACTTTACATTCCATTGAAAGTCTTATGTACTGTGGGGCTTCCTCTTCTGACTGGGTGTTCCAGGCTGGCTGTGGTCATGGTCTAGAGGTAGGCACAGAGCCGTTCCAGCTGCCCGGGATTTGCATTACTCAGAAATAGCAGTTCCTTTATTCCTTCTTCTGTATGAGCTAAAATGGAGTGAAACATTGGTAAGTGGTAATTTCCTCCTGTTGCATTTGTGTTTCCCAGAAAATATGGTAGCCAGAGGCTATATTATCCAGATTATACTCAGATGGGATTAATTAGCATCTCCTAAGAGACCTCCTAGAGTTGTGGTTAGAATTGGGCTGCGAACCTTAAGGATAGCAGTTTGAAACTATCAGCTGTTCCGCGGGAGAAAGATGAGGCTTTCTACTCCCATAAAGATTTATAGCCTCGGAAACCCTGTACAGGGTCGCAATGAGTCCGAACTAACTCCATAGCATATAACCATCACAACCACCACCACCAAGAGACCTCGAAGTCCGTGTGTGGCACTGTGGGTTAACGTGCCAGATTGCAAAGCCGTTTGAACTGCAAGGTTGGTGGTTTAAGCTCTCCAGTTGCTCCTTGGAAACACTATATAGGGTCGCTATGGGTTGGAGTTGACTCGACGGCACTGAACAACAACTAAGAGACCCACATTTAGATACTTTAAATAAATAAATAATCTTTTTCTATGCATAACTTTTCTCTTTATGTCTCTACTCCTTAAATACAGCATTCCTCCTTTCTTCCCAAAAGTATGTTTTGGACTAAAGGACTTTGTCAAAGCTACCCACCCATCTTGGAAATCTCTCCTTGTGCCTCCGAACCTACTGTAGCTTCTTTTATATCCTCCTAGACTTTTAATGGAGTCCTGGTGTGGCGCTGCAGGTTAAAGTGCCAGACTGCAAAGTCGTCTGAACTGCAAGGTCGGCAGTTAAAGCTCACCAGTCGCTCTTTGGAAACCCTATACAGGGTTGCTATGGGTCAGAACTGACTCGACGTAACTTAACAAGTCTTTTAGTAACCTACTCCAATCCTATTTAACTTCTAATACCTAGTTACTGGACTGCCTTTGCTTTTTCTTTATATCATCGCTCATCTCCAGAGGTGAGTGCAAGGGTAAAGCGAATAGTTGGAATGATTTGGTCAGATTCAACAATTTCTGCCCCCATTTTTTAAAATCCTTGCTCTTCATATCTTCCAATACCTGTGGCAAGAATTTAGTTTGGTGTTGGAGTACCCTCTACACAGTATGAAATTTTTGGTGGGTACCCAGCACCCACTAGCCAGTCATTCAGTCAAAGTTTGCGGAATGATGAAATGATAGCAACAATGAGAGAATGGCAACAACTGAAACCTCTGGAAACTGTCCAGTGACTACACTTGGTCTAGCCTCCTCCTTTATGATGAGCATTTTATTTAGGATGAAGAAAATTTAGTGAGAGATGTCAAATTAAACCTTAAACCCAATGTCTTTCTATACCATTTAATTAGCCAGAAAGATGTCAGGATAAAGTGAAAAATACAAATTACAGGCTGCTGCTGAGGGAAGAAGAGATCAAGGTTCTGAATCAGTGGAACTTATCAGAGAGCACAAAGCCTTGACAGAAACAAAAACCAAAACAAACCTGACCTTTCTCATGTTGAAGCCATTTGTTCTCCAAATAATACTGAATACAACTTTCAAATTCTTTTGGGTTGTAGTTGGAAACCAGGATGGGAATAAAGGGATCCAGTGAATCAAATCCTTCCTAGAGGTAGAAAAGAATAAAAATAGCTTTGGTTACTTGACAAATCAGCAGAGAAACTATAAGTACTTTAGAAGTTAAGGTTTTTGCTTTTCTTCTACTGTAACTCCTCACTGTCTGGTTATTCTGCCTATACAAGCCTCTGTATAGGCAGAATAACCTATATTCTGGTACTGTAACTACATGGCAATATAAATTACATTTTAAAAAGGTTTAAGGCTTAAGGGGGAGAGTGCCAATTTTCCAAGTATATAGCCAACCCTATAGGACAGAGTAGAATTGCTCCAATGGATTTCCAAGGTAGTAATCTTTATGAAGTCTTGGTGTGGCACTGTGGGCTGATACGCTGGACTGCAAGGTCAATTGAACTACAAGGTTGGCAGTTCAAGCTTACCAGCCACTCCTTGGAAACCATATACAGGGTTGCTATGAGTTGGAACTGACTGTAACTGCCCACCTTTTTGCTGGCAGCCAAGTATGTAACTACTGCACCACCTAAGTGTTGTTGAGTTGGTTCCAACCTGTAGTGATCCTCCAATCTTGACGCCACATTTTCCTTCATAGAACCCAGCTTCTCGTATTATTTGCTCAGCATACATATTGAACAAGTATGGT